GGGTACAGGAGAGGCGACAGGGACCAGAGGCAGAGGGGCTGGAGGACGGGGCTCGGTGACACGCAGCACCAGCAGCCCCGGCCCCAGGAGCCAGAGCTGCACCACCAGGAGGAGAAAGGGGGGTGCGGGGTCTTGTCCAAACGAGGGGAGTTTGGCGAATTCCCAACAGCTGCTTGTCCATCCCCGCCGGATCCGGCTGGACCTCTCTCGAGCTCCAGCACCACTACTGCGTGGCCTCAGGCTATTCGGAGAAGCAGAGGGCAATGAACACCGCTCTGTCCTGTGACCTGCCTGCAGCGCTGCGTGGGGGCGGAGGGCTGCCGCACAAACACCCTCACTGCAGCTTTTGCCACCCAACTGCAATTCATTTTCCAACCTCAGTGACTTTGGGGGTTCAAATGTGCTCCTCCTTTAAGTCAACTAGTCAGACCAGCTCACAGACTGAGCTTTGCTCCGAAATTTCCATGCATGCTTTCATAAAGCAATTCTAGAAATCTTTAATTTCTTTTGCAGCTTGAGGTGAAGCTGTGGGTCTGGAGTGGCCAGTGGCCGCCCCAGGTGCCGTACAGCCTTCGCAGCAACATCTCATCTCCTCCCTGGGCACAGCGCAGGAGGAGCTCGCCGTGCTGCCTGCCATATGGCGAGCTCCGCAGCTGCCAGCACGGTCCAGCTGCAGAGCTGGGACACTCCACAAACTCTGGAGCAGAAAGCTGCATGGCTGTAAGCAGTCCCAGGAGGAGCGCAACTTTGGAGAGGTGTCTGTCGCAGGGAGGTGGGCTGCAGGCGGGAAATGTTCCACCCAGGCATTCACAGCGCTGTTGGCATCCAAAGCAAATCGCAAAAAAACCCAAAACAAAACACCCAAAAAAAACCTCCCAGAAACTTTTTAATGTTATCGAAAATATCCTTTCCTCCCTGATCTATCATGGTGAGCAGGCAGCAACACTGCAGGACTCTCTCTCAACATTTTTCTTGACTCCTGAATGCATGAAAACAGAAGATTATTAGATTCACATTTGTAGGGTAATGCCCAGGAGATTTATGCTGTCACCTAAAAGCACCAAAAAGCCTTTTGGAGACTCACCTGCCTGCTTAGTAACACCAAAGATTTGCGCTTACTAAAGCTTATTAAGAGAAATATCTATTACAGTGTTGATATGAAGACATCATAAATATTCCAGGCAGAATTCAGATTATTTACAAAGCCAGATTAAACAAAAACCAGAATTATAGACTGAAAACTGTCCCGTGCTCTATGTGTTGTGGCTGTTCCAGTGCAGCAGGTCCTGGGAGGGGTACACGGGCTGGAAATCTCAATTTACCTATCAGACCCACGGGCCCAAGAGGCTGGTGTTTAGCAGAGATGCCCCACAGGCTCCTCTGTTGGGTGATCTGGAGCCAAACTCACCCGTGCACACAGAGCAGGAGAGCCAGCTCCCGGCTCTGCAAACTCTGTAACGATCGGGCATCTCTAGGGACAGCTGAGTGGGAAACAAACTATTGCTTGTGCTGTACATGGGGAAAGCAACTCTGACTTTCTAACCAAATACCACACTAGTTTTGACAGAAAAATGGAAACTTCTTTTGAGCAGCAAACCATTTTGATGCTTTATTTTCTGCAGCCCAAAGACTTCCTTGCAGCCAGCTGGAACGTGGAACCTGGCCTCCATAAAAATTCACAATTCTGAAAGAGAGTAAAACCCAAAGCCAAAAGCCTCTCCCATTTTGAACCCAAACCTTTCGCATCTCCAGAGGATGGAAAACCCTGAAACAAAACCTCTTGAAAGATAAAATTGTCTAGAGCTGAGTCGCCCTGTCACGGAGCTTTGAGCCAGACACCCCTGTCCTCAGGATGTCCATCACCTCGGTTTGCCAAAAGGTCCCAGAAAAGGAACGCAGGTCTCACTGGTGGATCTCCGTGTGCTTCGGTATTAGGTTAACGAAATTATGTTGACCACCTTTCACATTTTGATAGAAAAGTACTTAATCTGAAAATTCACAATTGCCTCGTAACCTAAGCAGGACCACACACACGTGGCAGGCCGATGGACTGCCCCAAGCTTCTCCTGCGCCGACACTGCACACTCCCCCCCAAGGCTGACCATGCTGCAGAGGCTCTGCCCTCGCAGAAAAGCACCTCTAGTCTTGACCCTGACGTATGATTGACATGAAGCCAACGAACAAGCAAGCTACCCGCTACAGGTCCTGACCTGTGCTGAGCAGAACTGGGTGGGAAGGCTCCTGGCTTTGCCAGGCACAAGGCAGGACCAGTATAGATCCTCAGCCCAACCATGAGACAATACTGCCAGGTGTCTCGAGCTTCTGCCTGCACAAGAAAGGGCAAACAGCAGGTCTGTCCCAAGGCTGTGCCATACCGAGGAACAGGGCCTTACCCGGTCACACAAACCTCCCGGCATGGGCCTTATCATGCCTCTTCTGACCACTGAAACCCAGCAAAGGTCTGCCCTTCAGCCCCCACCCAGACAAGTCTCCCATCACTCCCAAACAGTGAAATGTGAAAGGTCCTCACCCTCACGTTGGTGCAGGAATGTGAAACTAAGTGCTTGGCACATGACCCTTGCCAAATATCTAGCAATGACAAAACAAGCCAACTTCAAGCGCTTTCAGTAGGAAACACGTACCACAAGTTGACGAAGTTGATGAAACTCGGGGAGAACTCCCTTTCCTCTGAGTTACTCAGCTGCGGTGGGTCTCCTTTTACTACTTGTGTCAACTGGTCAAACACACTGTTCCACTTGGGGTAGGGGAATCGCCCCGTGGCCAGCTCATACTGCAGAGAGACAGCAACAGCACCAGGCAAGTTACACAAGGTAAGTTCAACTGGGGTAAGAAAATGTCTGTGAGGACCCTCAACCTCCCAAAAGGAAGACTAAGATAAGATTCTTCATCCCATTCTCTATACGAAGCTCAGCTGAAAGAAGAGGAGGGGAAGTTTCAACCAATAGCAAGTTCTGCTGCCTACGTTAGGAGCACCTCCAGATTTAACCTGGCTACGCCATACTTTCTTGTTGACAATGTCTTCTCCTCCACTGACTATAAAATGAACCAATGCATTTACTAAGGTGCTCAAAAGTACGAGAGTAAAATCCTCCAGTCCCTTCCCAGGCTTCCTAACAATCACTAGAGAAAATGGATAATGCGAATCATACAATCATAGAATAACTCAAGTTGAAAGGGACCTGTAAGAATCATCGAGTCAAACTCCCTGCTCCTCGCAGGACAATGAAAATGAGCATTTTCAAACACCCGTGGGGAAGAGAGAAGCTACTGATACATACTTATTGCTTCTGCTCTCTCTCCTACTTCACCACCTCGAGAAAGGAAGATCTTTTCCATTTATCAATGTGTGCACCCAGCAGTGCTGTGCTTAAGCCAGACAGGAGTCAGCAACCGGGATCCAAGATTAACCGAAGTCTTCTGCACAGCCGAAGTACACCAGACGCCAGGCTGTGAGAGGCTTATTTACACAGGCTGGATGCTCTGTTGTGCACCACCATGCTCACCATCCCTTCTCATCTGAGATTTTTTGAAGGCAAAATCCGACACCTCTTCCCTGCTCACATCTCTTTCTCTGCAAAACATAGCTGCAGCTAAACGTATCCTCAGGGGTTCAGGAGAGCCATCTGCCTTGAAGGGATTTATGCTCTTCCTGTGCCAGGAGGTGCCCACTTCAATCACAACATGCAAACGCTTCACAGCAGCGGAGCTGCGCTTTGCTTCGAGCATGGGTTTGACACCAACTCCATCACACTGCAAAGCGCACCAAGGCTACCCACCAGGAAAGTACCGCGCCACAAAGGGTTTAAACCCCACTCACTCACCAATGTAATCCCCAAGCTCCAGACATCTGAGCGGACGTCATAGCCTTGCCTGGATGCGCTGGGATCTATCCTCTCAGGCTGAAACAGGAAGAAGGACCAGTCAAATGCTGAGCCATGCAGGAAGGAATGAGAAGCATCTGCAAACTTAGAAAAAACTCACCCCACTGGGCAGAGCGTGGCACATCCCTAGAGGCAAACTTGTTGCCAGGGCAAACATCCAGCCCCAGCAGAGAAACATCTTAAGGAATAAAACACTGATTTTATGGAGGTATAGCGTAAAAGGTGATTTGCAGCAGCAATTCAGCACAGTCCAATTGTTGTTCAAATTACTAAAATTCAACTCTCTTGAACCTACCATCAGCCTTTCACCTGCTCATCTTGTAGCTCAGTCAAAACCAATCACATTTATATTGCAGGTAAACCCGTGCTTTTATCTGCTCGTAACCCAGCATCCTGCCTTTGCTGGATGAGTTCAGTCTTTCCATGTTAGGTACACCATAACAAGAGACTACCAAATCAGCTGATACGGAATTAATAGCCAATACAAGCATCCATTTCTTTAAATACAGCAAACAGAAATGCTATGACAATTTCTCCACAGCATGCGAAAAGTATGCAAAACCAGCAAAAGGGGCGAGGATCTGAATAGAAAATGTGTATTCCCAGCCCCTGCTTATTGCTTTTTTGGGGGGAGGAAGGATTGATAGGCAGTGAACATTCAGGATCTGGATGCTCTTAGATGTTTCAGGCAGTTACTAGACATTTCAGTAAGAAGCAAACATCTCAAGGTGGAGCCCCTGGGTGAGCATTGGCTCACACTCAAGATCAGGAAGGACAAGAGGAGCTCAGACTTATAAATCAAAGCTGTCCTCTGCTCGGAAGTAACATGTGGAATAACATCACCTAATGGGTACAAAAAAAGTCAAAATGCTCTCAGTGATGTATTTCTGTGAACAAAATATTCCTCAGAAAGTAAATGGAAAATGCCAGCAGTAGGAAGGCGTATAGAAGAACAACAGACCACATTAGACGTGGTGCAGTAGGCACCTCCTCTGTCCCCCTGTACCGGAAAGGAGTTTCCAGGGACTCTCATGAATCACGTTGGTGAGTGATGCTGCATCTGCCCTGCCCCTCTTCAGTGCCATGGGCGGCATGACCAAAGAGTTGGGGCTGTTCAGCCTGGAGAAGAGGAGGCTCGGGGAGATCTTATTGCGGCCTTCCAGTACCTAAAGGGGCTCCAGGAGAGCTGGGGAAGGACTTTTTACAAGGGCATGTAGTGATAGGACGAGGGGGAACGGCTTCAAACTGGAAGAGGGCAGGTTTAGATTAAACATTAGGAAGAAATTTTTCACTTTAAGGGTGGTGAGGCACTGGCACAAGTTGCCCAGAGAGGCTGTTGAGGCCCCATCCCTGGAGGTGTTCAAGGCCAGGCTGGACATGGCCTTGGGCAACCTGGTCTAGTGGAAGGTGTCCCTGCCCATGGCAGGGGGGTTGGAACTTGATGATCTTCAAGGTCCCTTCCAACCTAAATCATTCTATGATTCTATGATTCTATGACGGACCTGCGACCCCCAGCAGTCTTGCTTGCCTACGGCCCCACAGGATCCCCCTGCAGCATCCCCAGGTCACAGGCCCCACAACAGCTGGACTCCATCAGCCCAGCAGCACACCCAGACCATGCTGCTGTGACTGCAGCCCTGCAACACTAGTCCTGCCTTCCCTCTGGGCAAAGCATCCTCTTGCCTTCAACCCCTCCTGCCAGATGCTGGTGGCTCCTCCTGCCTTCTTGGTTCACTCTCATGAGATCGCACCTGGAGCACTGCATCCAGCTCTGGGGTCTCCAGCACAAGACAGGCATGGACCTGGTCCAGAGGAGGCCACAGAAATGGTCAGAGGACTGGAACACCTCTGCTATGAAGAAAGGCTGAGAGAGTTGAGGTTGTTCAGCCTGGAGAAAAGAAGGTTCCAGGAGATTTCCCTGCAGCCTTTCAATATATAAACGGGACTTGTAAGAAAGACAGAGAAAGACTTTTTACCAGGGCCTGTAGTGACAGGACAAGGGGCAATGGCTTCAGACTGGAAGAGGGCAGGTTTAGACTGGACATAAGAAAGAAATATTTTACGATGAGGGCGGTGAGACACTGGAACAGGCTGCGCAGAGAAGTTGTGGATGCCCTGTCATTGGAAGTGATCAAGGTCAGGTTGGACAGGACTCTGAGCAACCTGATCTAGCGAATAGCAGGGGTTTTGGACTAGATGATCTTTGAAGGTCCCTTTCAACTCAAAACATTCTGAGATTCGATGATTTGATGATTGTAACAATGCTAGCCATGCTGCAGACCACTATGCACCACTGCCCCACAGTGAGGCAGCTCTCTGGGGCATGGCTGCTATCCATGCCAGACCATAAGCATTTTGGCAAGAGAAGATGTATTCCCTGGCTGGCACACAGCTTCCCACCATGAAAATCACAGTCACTTCACAGAAACAAGGATCACTCTGTGACAAGAGACTGTCTCTGTAGTCCCACACACACCACCGTGGGGCATGCCACCCATGTGATGGATGCTGGTGTGCAGGAATGGAAGTGGGTGGCTCGACACTGTGTGCTGCTGGGGACACACCTCAACGTCTGGAGGCTGCCACTGGGGACCAGTCAGCATGGGCCTACACAAAATTACGGGGAAGCTGGCCTTGCCAGTGCCGGGACTCCCACACCGCAGATCCATAGGGATGTGCCATGGTGGGGTAGAGCAGTTCACAGACTGCAGAAGGACTTGCTTTCCATGCAGTACAGGGAATTACAGGACTTCCTGGACAGCAGGTATTTTGGGCAGGGGGTAAAGTACTAAAGGGTTGCGTGTTACAGGGACTGGTGAGGTAGGTGGCACTGGCGAGACAGAGCTTCTGGGCCACCCACACCAGGGCAGCCTGTTACCACCACCCAGCAGACGTAGCAACAGGGACTTGGCCCTAGACCACAGAGGCACAGTTAAAGGGAAAGTAGGATGGACCAAAATAAATCCTGTCTAAATACAGAGCAGAAAGAATCCTGGGAATTTTCCATGTAGATGACATGGGAGCAATTAACACCAACAAAGGAGGAGTCAGCATGTCACACTCCAGGGACCTGGAACGAGGGCTGCAGACAAAGCCTGGCTCATGTCAGGTGTCCCAACGCCAAGCACAAGCGAGGAAAGGACATGGCTGAGATGGAGACCCTCTTCTGGATGTGCTGACAGTGCCAAGAGGCAGGGTGTGAATGCAGCAGAGAAGGGTGCAGGCTGCCATGGGGCTTCTCTCCATTTCAGCGTCCACCTAAGCACCAGCATCTTGACTGAAAAAATGAGTCAGCAGCACTGATCCTCCCTCTCCTCCAAACCCCCAGCTGAGCAAGCACATGCAATTTCAGGTGTGACACAAGGACAGATGCACACACGACTCCTGCAGTCTTCAGCTGTTTCACATTGCTAAAGAGCAATTGGGTTTTCTGGGAAAACCCAGTTCTGAAGCTCAGATCTGGATTTTCACTGTTATACAATCAGGGAGTTTTATCCCATCGTGTAGTGCAAATTCAAAACTGTCTACATGGCATTAAAATGTACGTCACAAACTCTTATTTGCTCTGGCCAAAGCATCCCTAAACTAGAAGAAAATAAAACGTTACCAGGAGTGAAGAATGACCAGAAAGAGCTAAATTTTTGCAATACAAAAGGCAGAATAAAACCGACATGATACAAACTCTCCCTCTGCTCCAACCATGGGAACAGACAGATGCGAGATGGAAGCTGCCAGTCTCTGCTGGAGACTATCTTCTCGCACTAAAAAATGTGTGAAATGAAGTCCAGGGACCTCCCTGGCTTTGGCTGACGGCGGGAGCAAGGTAAAGCACTGCACATCTGGAAATGGGGCTGTGGGGCTGCAGCTGCAGCGCCAGCTGTGCCAAGTTCAGCTGCAAACCACACAGCGAGCGACGAACCGGGCCAGGCAGAGTTAACAGCCCTTCGCTGCTCCAACACAAACTGGATCCCAGCCTTGCACGCAAGAGCCATGGCTCCCTAGCATGCTATTCTGCCGCTGTGTTAACCGAAATACCACATGCGTATTTGTTTAGGGATGCTCAAGACAAAAACGCTGTCTCCCCCGCGGTGGTGACCCCATTACTGTGGCTTTCTCGTTTGGTGCCCTGCAAGAGGCTCGGCAAGCGCGTGCAGAGAGAAGCACCCGTCACTGCCCCAGCGACGACGCGGCTCTTGGGGCCAACTCCAAACCGAAGCCACAGCAAGGAGGGGAGCGATGTCCCTGAACAGCTGCCTACGGGCTTGTGCAACAGCAATTGCAACCATCTTTAGGACCATAAATAACTACTTTGGGAAATTCTTCTGCTGTTCAGTAAAGCAAAATGTTGTCGCTCATCCTTCACGTTGCTGTATTTCTCCAGAATATTCCTACAGTGAAGAGCCAGTTGTTCTTCCCTCAGGGCTCTCCCCTGCACACGCCTCTTGCACACTCAAGCAGAGCACAGGGCGATGGCCAGCGTCAGTGTCACAGCACAGCCCAGGCTGGGACCCAAGCGATGGGCACAAAGCAGGGCAGGCGAGGGGGCACCGACTTGCTGGGCTGTCGGACCTGCTTCTCCTGTCTCCTCCTCCTCCAGGGTGCGAGGATACTGCACACAGCTCCCTCTCATCTGCTCCCAGAGACCTCCAAACGCTTCATTCCTGTGAACCCCTTCCTTGACTTCTCTACAGGGCTGGGCTGGCAGATCGGACACTGTAAGTCTGAGGAAGAGCCTGACCGTTCACCTCTCTAGCTCACCACCAGCCCTGTGGACATGGCCACCATCTCCAGAAAAGAGGCAGTCCTGCTCTGTGAGGTGACTGTCCTCAAGGGGACTCACCAGGCTGGTTCTCAAGCAGAACTCGGTGCCTAAGATACAGCCCTATGGTAGCTGGTGGAGCTCCAAACACACATGAACATCCATCCACTCGTCTTGGTCAGTCTTACTGGCTCTGCTCTACAGGAAGTTTCAGTGGCTCTCCCTTAGGTGACAGCAATCTCCCTTTGGTGACACCAAA